GTTCCCGGATCCTCGTTTCCTTAACCTTTGTTATCTTTAAGGTCACCAGAGCAGAACTGCCGCCCTCTCTGCCTAAGTAGCAGCCCCAGGAAGCAAAGGCTCTTTCTGGAGTCTCCTGCTTCCTTCACCTGCTCCTTTTTATTCCCAAGGCAAATCCTAGAAACTAATCTTAAATTCTGACGTGCTTGCTCTAATGTAGGGAAAAAGACCCCATTTCTGCAGGGCCCTGCGCATGGTGAGGTCAGACAGGGAGAATCTGAGCAGGCGGCGCTGCTGCTGCTGCCTACCTGGCCCCAGGACCTTACGCACCTCTTTGCCTGTGCTTCAGTCACACCTGTGCAGTGAGGTCCCCATAAAAATTTAAAAGCTCAGGACTCAGAAAGCTTCTGGGATGGTGAGTGCACCCAGAAGGGGCACAGAAGCTCGATGCCAATTCTCCACACTTTGCCATGTGCATTCCTTTATCTCTCTTCAATGATACTTTGTGCAGCAAACCAAGAATAAGAAGCATTCCTCTGAGTTCAGTGAGCCCCTTGGGCTCCAGCTGAACCCCAGGAAGTGGCTGAGGACCCTAGCTGAGAGTGGGTCAGTCAGAGGCACAGGAGGCGCATTCTTAGGGACTGAACCCCTCGCTGTCTCCTGGCAGTGTCAGATCAGGCTCAGAGGGCATGTTGCTAGCGTCTGCTGCTGCAGCGCAGCTTGCCTGGTGGAGAAACCAATTCTGAGTCTGAGTTTGCTTTTGCTGTGCCAAGGTGCCCAACATAGTGGCTCAGCAGAAGGGCATCTTGGGGGAGTATTCAGAAGGACAGGTTGGCAAGCAAAGTCCTGTGAAACTTCATGTCGCTTGCCGGGCGCCACGGGGAGGCCATTCAGCCCCACCCCGAGGCTGGCTTCATGACTCCTCCAAAGCCCTCTCCCACTGCCGTCCTCTGCCCCACCCCATCAGGGCCTGACAGGTGCACTCAGTCCCATCCACACCTGTCTCACGTGCTGGCTCCTGCTGCTGTTGCACCTGCTCTGGACATTCAACACAAGGACTGGCTCCAATCCCAGTCTATGAAGTCTGGCCTGGTCCCAGCCCCCAGCTTGGCCCCATTCTTCGTTGCGCTCACGTGTGCCCTTCTAGCAGCCTGAGACGGCCCCACGTGGGCGTTCCCTGAATGTCAGCGTGAAAGGGAGCCTTTAATCCCAAGCAAGGAAATGGAGTGGGGCCCTAACTTGGGTGGGGCACCATGGCTAAACTGGGATCCTTCCTTGTTTCTCTCTTGCGGTCTTATAGCTTCTATGTCAACACACAGAAATAGCCACCTCTTTGGTGATGCTAAAAACATGCCCACTGAATTTTGTGCAATCATGAATTAAAAGCCAGATACCCCCACCTCTTCCCTCCTTGCTGAAAGCCTTCTAGAGTCCCGATTGTGTAACGTTCGTAAGGACACAGCGTGCTTCCTAAACTTCATTCCTGCTGGGCCTCTCTGCACTGTCAGGGCTGCGAGGGCCTTAGCGCGTGGTCCCTGAGCTGCCGGCCCAGGGGCGCACAACCGCTCAGTGCACATTTCCACTGCGCACCGCGCGATGCGGCCCACCTTCTCGCTGCCTGACAAGGAGGCAGCTTCCACTCGGGGCAAGTATCAATTAATAAACGCTGAAATGGCGGAAGTGTTCAGTCCGTGTCCTGTGTCTGCAGGGATCCCTTTCCTCCCCCGCTTCATCCAGACACTAATTCTAGGTCTTTCCGTGGCACTCAGGGTTGCATCCTGCGGTGAAATGCCGGTAGTATAGCAACTGCAGGAAGACGTATATAATTTCCCTGTCAGAATGGCTTTAATGCCCCCTTTCAGTGGGCAAGAGACACTGAAGAACAGATAAATGGTAATGGACCTACAGCAATCTGTGGAGTCAACACATGTATGGGAAGTGCGTTTGTGCCATTAATCCTTTTAGCCAAGGAGCAAATCTATTTTTATTGCTTATAGGCGATGGTGCTAAATTGACTATGAGACAGTGGACTTCAGGTAAACACTGCACCCCTCCTATGACTCAGGAAGTCCACTAAGGACTTCCGTTTAGAGGGGAAGTGTGACGGGGTGACGAGCTGGAGACGGAGCCCAAGTGAGGAAAGTGGCCGCGAAGAAGCAGGCTGCACAGCGCTGGTGGCCACACTAGGCGCTGGGGCCTGGGCTGAGAAGTGTGTTCTGCCCTTCCCAGACCCCTGTGCGAGGGATTAAATCCTGAGAAGAAAAGGAGCATGGCCCTCCCCCACCTCCTCAGGTGCTAAAAGGCGGCTGTGGGCTCCCAGTCATAAATGAGGTCATTGTTGGGGAGCTCCACATGCTAATAACCACCCTTTATTGTGCACTTTCCCTTGCCAGGTGCTTTGCTAAATGCTTTATAGGCAGTTGCTCTTTAATCCCCCCACTTCCCTCTGCAGTAGGTGCTGTAGCTCCCTTAGGGGGTGAGGAAATGGAGTCTTACAGCTACTCAGTGGTGTCAAGACCTGGGATTTGAACCCAGAGACAGTCTGGCTCCACAACCGGTGCTTAGTTTAACCACTGCGCTTTTAAATAGCATTTTGGTCTAGTGAATGTTGGCAGTGTAACATCCAAAAGGTTAGAATAACCTTCTCTTTTAACAAGTTGCCTGAATGATTCACCAGGAGATCTGGGGAAAACACCTTTGATCTTAATTAAGAACAAGTATGTCCTTCTTCACCCACCCTCCCTACACGTTTTGAGAATTAATGAATTGGTCTCCAGGACTCCAAGAACCTTAGATAGCTGAAGATGCTTAAATAGTGTAAGTAAATGAGTTTCCACTTCCTTGCCTGATGCTCCAGGCCCCAAAACCATGGCTGATTCCTACCCAGCAGCTGCTCAGTGACTTTCAAAGAAAATTTCTTAAGTATTTTATGTAAGACAGACCAAAAGCTCTTTGTGGAATACTGTTGTGATTTTTTTTTTTTTTTTTTTTCCTGCAGTTTCTCTCTGCAGCTCGGAGTCGTAGTGCTCCTCCTGTTTTCAGCCTCCCTAGTGCTGGGATTACAGGCATGCACCACCACACCCAGACTCCATCACTGGCTCAGCAGAACCAGAGGGCAAGGCTGGCATGACATGTGGTGCCAGGGATTGAACCCTGGCCCCTGTACTTGCCTACGCAAATGCTTATTCCACTGAGGTATCTCGCTGGCCCTGATTTTTTTTTTTTTTTTTCACTAGGACTCAAACTAAGGAACTTGCACTTGCCAGGCAGGTGCTTAAGCCACTGCACTATCTCCCTGACCCCCATTGTGACATTTTTGCAGGGATTTCTTCTCAGCCCTGACAGAAATCCCCTCTGAGGAGAGCATGGAAGCTTGTCAGAGAGCTGGTTACCAACCAGCCTTTTCTCTCTGAGAACCAAACATTTCTTTCTAGTTGCTATGCTGAAGTGAGTTTTGCAAATCTAATCAATTTGTTCTGTTTGCTTCTTCCATTGTGTACTGCTCCTCTCAGTCTCCTCCTCCCTGTACTATGATTTGACCGGCACCAGTAGGGGCTGGGTACTGGGCTAGACTCTAACCAGGGTTGCTTATCATGTTCTGCAGGGGAGTTCGAAATGGTTCATTTTTATATCATGGGATGAACAATGTTCATTCTTCAGCCCAAAAGGAATGACAAAAACCCAAGCATATAGCACTTTCCTAGGAAAGTTACAGATTCTTTATGTAAGCTGCAGTACAAGTAAGAGACGTCTGAGAAGTAGATGATCTTCAAACTATGATGTAGTTACAAGGGGAAACTAATTCAGAAAAATGACCCTGGAAATCTCCTGTGAATGTAAACATTCTCTCTCTCTCTCTCTCTCTCTCTCTCTCTCTCTCTCTCTCATGCATTCTCTTTGACTTAGTAATTCTATTTCTGGAAATTTATCCTTAAGAAGTTATCTAAAACCTCAGGAAATTAAGATGCTCATTGCATGCTTACAACAGCAAAATATTTGAAATAGTTCTCATGTCCCAGTTACACATATGCACATAGACCCATCTGAATTTATTAAACATCAAAATTGTAAGTCATGTGGCAACATGGATATGCTTATGTAAGGGGGGAAAGCTCAGATAATCAGGGCCCTGCACCCTTTAAAGCATAGTTTTCATTTCTGGAATTTCTCTTGATCATGATTGCTGTTCTTCTCTTTCATGCCGTCCTGTTGGTTCCTTCTGGTTTCTCTTCCTCCCGTTTTCCCTTAACATCATCAGCATACCTCCCTGAGTACTTTGTCCACTTTCGTCTCAGGGCACAGGTTCTCCTGCGGGTTGCACTGTTCACTTCGTTGGTGTGAAGACAGTTCCGGGAGCGGCTCAGCTTCTGCGCAGGTAGCTGCCCAGAGGACTCTCACTGCCCAGCTTGGGGGTGGGAGAGGAGATGGTTTTGCCTTGTATTTGCCCAGGCCTTAGTGATTCCAATGGCCTCGGTTGATAGCGCACTTCTTTACTACTTTCCAGGGTGTTCTGAGTAAGAATTCTGATGTGTGCAGAGCTCAGTTCTCTCAAAAGAGCCTTCAGACTGTCTCTTACCCTTAAGGTTAAATCCTCAACTCCCAACCCCGAAGTCTTTACTGATTCTTTGCTTATTTTAACACCCCTGGGCTCAGCTTCACTAATCAGGAGGGCCTACGTCCCTTCTGGCACCTAAAGTTCCTTTCCTGCCCTCAGACTCTCTATACATTAATAATTCACACTTAAACCATCGTTTCCATATACTGTAGTGGTTATGTTCACACCACTTTCACTTATTGAAAATATATTTAAAAATAATCAGAAACTAAAAAGGACTTTGAGAATGAACTGATTTGTGAAAGGTAAGACAGTAGATTTTGTCACTTTCTATATTTTGCACATCTTCTGTATTGTCATTTTGATGTCTTGATGAAAACAATGACTATAAAAATTATAAAATTTGTACTTGCTGCCTTCTGTTTGGAAATTTTTAATTGTTTTTAATTGTTACCTTTTGTTTCAGAATGCATATACTACAACTGCCATTAATGGGACAGATTTGTGCACGTCAACCAAAGATTCGATCAAAATATTATCCAGGAATTCAAATGATTTTACATCTGTTAACTGTTTTGGAGACTTTGTAATTTTTCTGGGAAAGGTGAGCTGTCTTGACCAATAAAGAAGCAAGGATTCAATACAGTACACCAGCTGGGGGAGGGGGTGGCACACACGCCTGCAATACCAGGCCTTGGGAGGCTGAGAGGTTCAAGGCCAACCTGGACCGCACAGCAAAACCCTGTCTCGAACAAAACAGAAAACTAAACCGAAACAGAAAGAAGCCATCGAGCAATTAATTAGAAAGGGAATTAATGCTTCCTGAATATATGCACTATGCTTCATCATTTTATTTAATCCTCAGTCCCACGATGCATTCGTTCTGCAAATGACAAAACTAAGGTTTAATAATTTGTCCAGAATCCTACAATAGATAGAGCCAAGATTTTAATCTTAGACTTCTCTTGCCTGAAACCAATTCTTTCTACCATTGATTCTCAGCTTTGTATGTCTAAAATGAAAATGTTATTAAGCTCAGAAAATGAGTATGTTTTATGGGATTTTCTTGTAAAAATGGAGCTTGTATCGATCCTGGGGAAATTTGTTCATTATTTATGGGCAGTTAAGTCTATAAACAAGATGGATTGTTAATATCCTAAGTGGGGCCAGCATCGCATTTCTGTTGCCATCTGAATAATTTTTTATACTTTAAAAAAATTATAATTGTACAGAGTGAAGGAGGATCTTTGAACCTCAACATCTCATGGTGAAAGGACAAAGCCCTGAAATTGAAATCTTTCAGCACTTGAGCCTCAGATTTCATAGCTATAACCCAGGCTTTTTGTAGGTGTTAGGAAGAGCTATTGACACGTCCCTGACTGCCCTCGTGCCACTGCTTCAAACTGGCCGGTTCTCTATGCCATGAGGCACGGTGCGTCTCTTCCCGTGCACCTTTCACGCACTAGGACTCTGAACATCGCAGTTTGCCTAATCCCGCTTCTACCTGACTGCTGCACGGCACAGACTCCGGCTGCAGGCATGCTGACCTCCCTCCTGCCATGTGCTCTCTGTTCTGAGCTCAGCACGCTTGGTCCTTTCAACCTCTCCACTGCATCTGACGTGAGCACCATGGCTTCCAGCCGACTCCACAGGCCCACAAGATCAGCATCACCAGTTGTTACGCTAACTGTTGGCAACTGTGGCCCTCATTTAGGATTTTGTGTATGTCTGGTGCATGACTAGCACAGCTGGCTGCCAATAACAAGTCGTAACGTCTCTGGATTGCAAAATGTGTGCTAACTGCACATATATTTAAGGCTCAGCTGGGCCCCAGAGATACATAATTATGCCTTTCACAATGGCCTGAATACATTAGAGTTGTATTTAAATGGCTATTGTTCATGTAATAGATTTCTAATAACTTCCAAAAAATTTCTGGCATTTTTTAATAGACTTATTTTAGGTAGTAACTCTTTTTTTCCTGTGAGAAATGTATAATGACTAATTGTCTCTTAATCAGCGTGACCAGCAGTGGTTCGCTGGTCTTTTGAACGCAGTAGCATTCAGACACCTGTGTTTCTATACGCAGCCGTCCAGCGGCAACGGGCCCAGGATGGACTCCATGACACCTGCGCAGGAATGAGGTGCATCATGGATGGGATGATGTGCCTGAAATACAGTCATTATACATCTCAAAAGCTTGAATAATCCCATTGTCTCCCCACACCAGCACTAGAAGCCCTTCCCACTTTATCCCCAAGAAATAAAACCAGCACTTTATTAAGCTACAGTACACCCAGGATTGTTGGAAATTTTTGTTTGTTTGTTTAATGGTGTTTATAAAAAGGGTTTTAAGTGAAAAAGGGTAAAATACATAAAAAAACAAAAATGTTGAGGTATTGTCACATCTGTCTAAAGATCAAGCATGGGGGTTGGAGAGATGGCGCAGCAGAATAAGCACTTGCCTAGCAAGTGCGAGGGCCTGAGTTCAATCCCCAGTTCCGCCATAAAAAAAAAAAAAAAAAAAAGAAAATGAGAGTACATATTGTTATCACTCCTATTCATTGTTTTCTTTTGCTACTTTTGCTTTCATTTATTCTTGATTCATTCTGCCTAATTTGGACAAGCACTCTACAACAGGGTGTGCTTGCACACACACACAACTATTTTGTTTAACAAAAAACTATTTTCCTGGAATGTATTTCTAACCAAGCAATTTGTGAAGGTTTTCAACACACTTGTTTTTGGACAGGTGTTGGTGGTGTACTTCACTGTGTTCGGAGGACTGATGGCATTTAACTACAACCGCACACTGCAGGTGTGGGCGATCCCGCTGTTACTAGTGGCCTTTTTTGCCTGCTTAGTAGCTCATGGTTTTTTATCTGTGTTTGAAACGGTGCTGGATGTACTTTTCCTGTGTTTTACTGTTGATCTGGAAACAAATGATGGATCATCAGAAAAGCCCTACTTTATGGACCACGAGTTTTTGGTAAGCAGCCACCGCATTTCCTGTCATAGTCTCCACCCTCAGGGTGTGCGTGAGGACTGACACGCAGCCCTGTTATTCATGCACGGGAAGATCTGGGCACAGCTCTAGGCTGACCACTGCCTGCAGGGGAACTATGCCCTAAGAGAAGGAAAGCTAAAGAGAGCAGACAGGCTCCTCAGCAAGGGCAGCCGAGGTGTTCTGGAAGTAGCAGCCCAAGCACCTTGCTTGCTCCTGGCTTGGTCTGGCTCTGGGGCCCTCTGAGCTTAATGTACATCCTTCTCTAAAGCATGTTTGCACCCCCAAGAGCCACGTCGTACCCGAGTGTCGCCTGTGCCACAGCAGACAGATCTGCCACCTTCAGGCCTTCTACTAGCCGAGACACACCCCAGCAGAGCCCCGTGCTGCCTCTATCTGCACACAGCAGGCAGCTGTCTCCAGCAGCTTTTCCAACAGTTGTTGCTTGCCTTATCCTATGCAGACAGGGCTATCTTAACAACGGAGTATCTCGTCTTGTTGCATCCCATGACAGAATCATTTCTGTCATTTTGTTGTCATAAAACTTAGATATTAAAGCCCATTTAGCTTTAAACAGTCCAACAGGCTCTTATGTTTAACAAGCATTGCTGTCGCTTTCTAATGCATGTATCTGCAATTCTTTGCTATTTCGGTGTGCTGAAAGTGTTTCTGATGGTGGTATGAGATTTGTATTTTCCACTTAAAAATCCACTTTGATATCTACTCCTGTCCCAAGTATTATAGATCAATAGAGAATTTTTAACAATTCAGTGACCCTAAACTATATAGCCAAAAACTCCTAGTAAATGGTTATCAACAGCACTGACCTATCAATGATCTCGTGTTTTTCAGAGTTTTGTCAGAAAGATCAACAAATCCAACAGTGCAGGCGTACAGACAGACAAAGACTCACTAAGGAATGAAGAGGGAACAGAACTCCAGCCTGTTGTGAGATAGGCGCTCGCGCGCTTGGACCTAGAGAAACTGACCTTCAAGGAACTGACAGAACAAGACTGGACTGGACGGGGCCTGCTCTTCAGTTTTTGCCACTATGTCAAAGTACTGAAACCATAAAAGTTTATTCATTTTCCTATCTAGGACATAAGCACTGAAAACTGTATTTATATGAATCAATTTAAAAAGCATGGTAGGTAAAAAACCCATCTAAGTTTGTGAAGGTATGACCAGTAAATCTTGTTTAAAAAAAAGATTTTGTTAGCAGAAATCTCTGAACATTTCTCTTATACAGGGCATGGATTTTTATGGATCCAATATTGGAAATATGCTAAATATATTGACTTTTCAGAGTACAATTCTTAAATTTAGTGACGTAAAACCTGAGTGTTTGAGCTGGGCTTGTATAAGAGACAGGCTGAATCTTAATTATATAACACTTAGCTGGTTAAAAGCAAGATGAACTCTTATAAACGGGCAACCACAACCCAGCCACACCTCGCAATTGCCTGGAGGAAGACTTCTAAGAACATTTTTATCTGGAACCCATCCAAGATTTAGATGGTAGGGAAGGGGAGCTTGGTTCCTCCTCAAAGCTTTGGACAAGCAGGTGGCTGGGCAGCACTGCCCACCCCCACAGGAGGCTCATCAGACCTGGGGGCAGGGGTGCCTGTGTGCTGGCAGACCTCCTTCCCTTCCCTAAATGCTTACTTAGCGATGACAAGAAACAGCCTGACAGCTCAGGTCTACTTTAAATGCAAATTTCTCCCAGAACAGTACCACAGAATTAGTTTAGCTCACTAGTCTCTTATAAGAAAGGGATTTACAGAGCATTCATCTGAGTCATAATAGAATAAGCAAGCAAACTTTGCTTCTGTGAATTCATCAGATCAGATTTATGCTCGCTCCTTATTGGCCTTACCAAAAAACAGGCGCCTTTCCACCCGCAAGCCAACAGGGCCAATTCTATCAAAAGAAATCACTTGGCTTACACAATGTCTACGATGTCACTACCAACTTTCTTTGGTTACTCTATGCTCAACATGTAGCTGTTGCTTACCACCTGTCACAACTGGCAAACCTGAGGCATGCGTGTTTTCTTTAAATGATGTTGCCAGAAAAACAGCTCTGTAGAATAAGCACTTGCCTGGCAAGTACAGGGTCCTGAGTTCAATTCCTAGTACCGCAAAAAAAAAAAAAAAAAAAAAAAAAACAAAAAAAACTGATGTTAATGTATGAATTTTTTCTAAAATAAAGCCTTAGTATATTCAGATTTAATTGGCCGTGTTGCCACTTTGCAATGAACAAGTGGTTCTGGGTTATAGTTCAAGCGCTTGTCCTGAAATGTTTGCCATCGGGGTTTAGGTGTAATTATAACCCTAACTTCATCAAACAGCAAATCTGGTCCTAACTCCGTGTATTTCTTACTCATATTTTTTCTAAATGATGTACATAAAACTCCACCACACACATATGCTTGCATAATTATTCCTGAAGGTGATGTTTACTCCAAGCTGACCTTAAGATCAATGGAGCAGGGCCGGCCAGATAGCTCAGCGGATTAAAGTGCCTGCTCAGGCAGACTCAGGGACCAGGGTTCGATCCCTGGTGTACTGTGCCATGCCATGTCATGCCAGCGAGCTGAGAGGAGGAATGGGATTGGGCGTGGTGACACACACCTGTAACCCTAGCGCTTGGGAGGCTGAAAAACAGGAAGGATCGCTACAAATCTGACCACTACAAGTAGTGAGACCCTGTAGACTCTGTACCAAATACATTTTTAAAAAAAGATCTCAGGCAGCCACATCACAGTGAAACAAACAAGGTCAGATCATCCACTGGCTGCCATTTACTCATCTTTCTAAGCCCCTGTCTCCATACACACACAGTACAGTGTTGTGTAAAAAGGTAAAAGCCTTAGCCTGGTACCCAGGAAGGAGCACTGTTTTCTTACCTAATCTACTTGGAAGCTAGCCAGGAAATAATCAGCCTGTGGCTCATATGAATGTTCAAAAAAATATTTATTTATAAAAAATACAATGGGATAAGTTTATGTTGAGAAATGCAGCAATAAATACAGTTGAAGAAAACAGCAACTCTACAATGACACATTGGAACAAAGATCTTGCAACCGCACCACACAGACCTAGGTGTCTGCAAGCTGTTTTTTTGTACATGCTCCTTTAGAAAAGCCCCTCTGAAAATATCTTGTCAGCTTAAGAGAATGAGTACACATATAATCACAAATGCACACTGATCAGGACTTTATTCAAAAATTAGCAAACAATACTGTAGAAACATTGATATGCAAAATTCTAAAATGCTGCATCTTAAGATTTAGTTGGCAAAGACCACATTTAGCAATAAACATGAGTTTAGTCTTCCATACAGAAACCAGATACACTAATCTGTAAAAAAAGAAAATTTCCTATTGTTTGAAAATACCAGTTTAAGTGTAAGATTGTAAAACTGCATAGATCTTCGATGACAGAACTGGCTGGACAAGAGCCTTCCCCTTTCACAGTATTCCTTTTTACTCCATATGCAAGTTACTGGTTATGCTGTAGGATTTAACTGTTACAGCACTAAAAGGCAACTATTTAGGGAAGAGGCAGAAAAAGGAATGTATGTAAGGCATTTTTTTTTAAGGTACAATAAGCATAATAGTGTTTTAGGAAGACAAGATAAAAATTACTCAAGGCTAGCTTGGTTCTCACTGAATAAAAATAATGGACTAAATACTGAGCTCCTCTGTGTGACTCTAATAATCAATGCCTTGGTCGCCATATTGGTAATCTCTGGGGTAGTCATCTTGGTACTCGCCATGATACTCATCCGGGTATTCTGCCTGATAATCACTATCACTGATTTCCGACCCATTTGTCCCTGTGCCTTGGCTGCCATTGTGAATGACAGGTTCTGTGGGAGCAGCACAGTACTTGGGATCGTACACTTGCCGCCCGAGCCCATACACGCTCATTCCCTTCTGGGAAGCGACCTTGTTGGTCCCCATCTGTAGGGAAATTGTTGAGTTGTCCACTGGCTGTAACGTGAGCTTCTGATCATAGATGTCTCTTCTGGTGCCTGGTGCTAACATCCCCGCCTGGTATTAGAGCATAAAATAAGAAAATAAAGTTAAAACAGTAGCTACAATCTAGTTAAAATTTTACAAATTAAGAGATTCACGGTGAATATAAACACTAACAGGACAACTTTCATTTGGTTTGGGGTAAACCTACTGTACCAAAATGTGCTAGCATCAAATTGCTTTTAGAAAGCAGGCTTTCAAGCTAAGTCAGACCTTCCTTTGAGTCTGCTCTACTGTAAAATGCAAGGCTGCCGCAGACTAGTGACCTTTCAGTTCTAGACTTCTCCCATGTAGTAAGGAGACAACACTACCACCTCTGGATTTAGAAGAACATCAGATATAAAGTATGGAAAAACAAGGCATAATGCTGGGGCACTTTGAAGGTACATCTGAATGCCTACTATGACCACATACACTCAACAAGTCACCAATTTAAACATTTACAGTACAAGTCACACAGGAGCTAACCACTTCAGAAAAGCACACCCTTTTCAGGGAACTATACCTCATGCAATAATTTCTTCCTTACAGCCATCACACACATACTTTTAGCTATTAAGTGAGTGAAAAAGCAAGCTCAAGTTCAGCTATGAGAAACACAACCCCACACAGGACAGAATACGTTCCACAAGGGCAAATAACTAGCAGTCAAGTCCTGGGCCATCTCCAAAGCTGACCCCTACTGTGCTGGATGCGGGAGCATAGTACTTGCTGGAACTCCTCCCAAGGCGCTGGTAATGCATTTTTAACAGGGAAATACAGTACTTCCGCCTTGGATGTGGTGTTAGAACACGGGTGTTTTCACCATGCTCCATTTCTATTATTACCCAAGAATTACTTAACTAGTATCTCAGGAATTTTTGTCTTCTGGAATGTTAGTTGAATAGTTCTCAGTAGGACATCAGGTAGTTTCATCTACTTTTAAGATTCCTTTATAAAGGGGGTGCGGGGAGAGAGCCAGCACTTTAATGGGCAATCTTTTACTTGGGTGTTGGAGCAAGAACACTAACCTTTTTTTTCTAGGTAGAAAGGTCAGCTGTTTTAACAGCCCCTTAAAAACTCTATGAACCACACCCAGTTTCATGGATTCTTTTGCTTTCCTAGCAAAAATCTACCTTCCTGAAATATATACTTTAAATATGCTATACAGAATGCCTAATTTGAACTTCACTTAATAAGGTTAAGCATAAATTTTTTTGGTTTTTGGATACAGGGGCTTGCTATGTAATTCAGATGGGCCTTGAACTCACTAGGTAGCTCAGAATGGTCCAGAACTCTTGGCAACCCTTCTGCCTCCCAAGTACCAGGATCCTTCAGCCTCCCAAATACTGGGATTATAGGCATGGGCTCAATAGGCCTAGGTCCAGCTCAATAGGTATTCATTTAAAATAGCCCCTTTGACACTGGGTGTGGTAGTATAATCTTGTAATCCCAGCACTTAGGGAGGGCGAGGCAGGAGGATCGATGTGAGTTCCACAAAGTGAGGACAAGGCTAGTCTGACCTGCACAAGGAGACCCTGTCTCCAAAAAAAAAAAAAAAAAAAAAAAAAGGAAAAAAAAAAATTACTACTGCTATTAATCCAATATAATAGCCCCTTGGTACTTTTTGCTGCAAGTATGAAAAGAAACTGCTTACCTGGCTGGCTCCTTTGTTGGTGCCCATCTGCAGGCTGATAGTGGTCTGATCAAAAGGTTTGTCAGTCTGCATTTTGGGATCATAAAGATGCCTCCTAGTTCCATAGGCTGTCATGCCTGCTTGGCTGGCACATTTGTTTGTTCCCATCTTTTAAGTTAAAAATAAAAATAGCACTAATTAATCAACAACATGTACAATAAAATTCTCTGTGCTCCTAAAAAGATGGAAGCCGCTCTCCAACAAAAATAGGTGAACAGGTGCAACTGAAAATACATTCAAGTGCTAACTTTAAAAAGATAAGTTTTCCCCAAAACATTCTCTGCATATAGACAGCACCTCACATCACAATGAGCCATATGTAAACTTGCACACATCCACACACAGGCAGACAGATAAGAAGCTGCTTCCACCGCAGTTATATAATTTCCCTGCTAGTCCTTGCCCTATTCTCTGAGCCATAGATAACCAAATTAAGGGATCCCAGCTTCACTCAAGAATTAAAAAACCAGCGTTAGGCTAGGCAATATGCTCTCTACCTCCACTATGGTTTACATAAAACATGAGAACAACTGCCAAGAATTTTAAGTTTAAAATCACTAGCATCTTCATGGGCAGGGAACCACATTTTATGCCTTCAGCTCCTTCTTACATACTGGCCAGAGCCAGAAGGAGCCAACAGGAGCCAGAATGAGGACTGTCAATGCAGCCAAAACCAGAGAACAGTAGCTTCCCCTCCCCACCAGGAACCACACGGCTTCCAGACCCTACACACCTTCCCTACTCACTGGAGACAGACCTCTACCGTTGACGGTTGTCTCCTTAAGAAACAAAATTAAAATCTTTATTACTAAAAGTATATCCTGTCTACTGGAAAAAAGACTTAGAAAACTGATATAAGCAAAAGGAAAAAGAAAAATAATTTTAAACAGGACCATCCAAACTTACATTTATAAAAAAAAACCTTTTTGGCCCTAACCTTCTAAGGTCAATTAAGACTCAGGACATATGAGAACTTGTACTGTAACGTCATGTACCTCGGTAGTGTCCCAAA